CCCGAATCAAAAACGTAACCTAGAACATCTACAAAATATAGGTTTAACGATTTTCATGGCAAAAAATGATTTGGTCAGTGGATGGCAGCGTCTGGCAGGTTGGATGTCATCGCAGGGGGGACCTCTTTATCGACTGAGCCTGTTTCACATCTATCACGCCCGCTCATATGACCTTATGCAGTTGCGAGTGCCGTAAAACTCTAATAAGAACCTCGTAAACTCACAAGACGTGTGCACCACGTAATGACCTGCTTCAGAGGGCTACAGATTAACAGCCTGAGCGTCTGTGCGAGGCGTGATGGGAGAACTCTTGGTGGGAAAGGCACCGCCTCATATTATGGAGATTTTCAGCCACCATCGATATCGATGGATATTCGAATAAAACCAATATAATCAATAATGAATCACTGTATGCATGTGTTCATGCATGTTTTTGTAAACCGACCCCCCCCCCCTTTCCCACCAGGACAGTGCTACTGACTGAAGTTGTCTTTAGACCATTCCCAAAAGGGGGGGGGGGGTATTAACATATTCGTATACACGGTAGAATTGTAAATGGGCTGATTTATCAATGTCATGCTCATACTGTGCAGGAACAGTATTGGGGGAACTGCTACCTTTTCTTTCCTCGTCCTTACTATCGTCATTTTGCCCTCCACTTCTTTTGTATGTTCGTCACTCTCTTGTGAACTGTTATTTTCGGGGTTCCTTGATGATCTAAGCAGACTGTGCGCTGTTGAGGCTACAGAGGTGAACAGAGTAAGCCCGATTCCCTCTTTGGATTTTTCTGTTGACATCCACCCCTTGGCGCTCATATAACGTTATGCAGTTGCAAGCACAGTAAACCATTACTAAAACAAAACCGATTTTCACACAGCGATCAATCAGATGTGTGTGTGTGTGTGTGTGTGTGTGTGTGTGTGTGTGTGTGTGTGTGTATGTGTGTGTGTGTGTGTGTGTGTACCTATCATAGGTACCATTTAATCCTAAAGTATATCTTAAAACTCTCTGTATTCAAATATTGGGTCACTTTGATAAAAAAGAGAAATCAGTCTTACCTCTAAAGTAGTGAGATAGGTCTCGAAAGCGAAAACCGATCCAAATTGAAGATCATATCTGAAAGATCGATCAGTCTCAACGTCTTTTTCCGATATCCAATTAAAAGAATCCTTTTGTGGGCACAAGTGGCTCTCCAGACTGTCTCTAGCCAGAATGAAGCAGTAGAGAAAAGCCCTATACGGTAAGTTAGCACAACAAAGCGGGTTCAACGTCAAGGCCATCTCCGATAGTATATTGACTAAGCCTTCGAGAGAAGCCTTCTCCGATACTATGTTTGACTAAAGTTTCCAGTTGCAGGATCCGTCTCCTAAAGTCTGTTGACCAAGCCTTCAAGTGAAGTCGACAAGGACGTAAGCTTTAGCTTAGTGTAGGCAGAAGCGTGCGGTGTCTCAAGTTCTAGCCGATCTTTTCAAGTGGATTTGGTTCCTCTCTTTGGGGGTTGAGGAGGGTAGAGCAAACATTGACGCCAAGTGGTCGGGGGTTCGCTGCTTCATTATACAGCGGTTGGTTTTCATTACATGCGACAAAGGCTGCTCTAACAGTTTTGTAGAGATAATGATCTAGTATTGTACAGTAAATAGAGTCTACGTATTTATTAGGGATAGGTACTCTATTCCAATTATATTTTTCTTGTTCTTGTTCTTGTTCTTGTTTTTGTTCTTGTTCTTGTTCTTGTTCTTCTTGTTCTTTTTTTTTCTTGTTCTTGTTCTTCTTTTCTTCTTCTTCTTCTTCTTCTTCTTCTTCTTCTTCTTCTTCTTCTTCTTCTTCTTCTTCTTCTTCTTCTTCTTCTTCTTCTTCTTCTTCTTCTTCTTCTTCTTCTTCTTCTTCTTCTTCTTCTTCTTCTTCTTCTTCTTCTTCTTCTTCTTCTTCTTCTTCTTCTTCTTCTTCTTCTTCTTCTTCTTCTTCTTCTTCTTCTTCTTCTTCTTCTTCTTCTTGATAATAAAAAAGGAAGACAGAGAGGGGAAAAGAGAAAGAAGGAGCAATGGAGTTCAATCGGTAAACACAAGCCCGGAAGTACTTCTGAACTAAATGATAATTGTCAAATTCATAGCATCCAGTGAGAATTCCCCCCCCCCCAACTCCAAAGTCACATCCCCCACTCCTCTACACCTCACTTCCACCCCTCTCTACAGTCACATTCCCCCTCCCCCTCCCCCAGAAGTACACCCCACTCCCCCCCCCCCCCCACCCACCAGATATAAACCATTCACAGTTCCACCAAACAAAGACACAGACACACAAACAAACAAACAAAACAAAACAAAAAAATCAAACAGATTAAGAGGTAATGTAGTCCGGGAAAATTGATTCGATAATTCTGAGAGTTTTACAATTGAAGAGGGGCTTGTGAGACGAATTTGTTTTTTTAAATTAAGAATTAGCAAGAGGGAAAATGAAGAACAGATGAAAAACTTGAAAAGAAGGAGTAAAATTGAGCACTC